ACATAAGAAGTGAGCGCCAATACAATTTATGAGATTATTACTGAATCGATGTAATCGATCATCTCTCGTGTTATTATCTTATTAGTGTTTAGTTAAAAACAATTTTTCCTTTTTGTTTCAGAAAGCAACCGTCACGTACAATAATTGATGTAGTCGATCATAATTCAGAGGATAATGATACATCATCAGATTTTGATGATCTTGATATACCTGAAGAATTGGAAGATGATGAAAATAATTTAACATTTGGCAATGCAGCTGATAATGATGAAGAATTAATCAATGTTGTTGATGACGATAATGAAGATAATGTTAGTTATGTCGATGAAAATGATAATTCAGATGACAATGAAGAAAATGATGATTATCAATCAATTGATCTTCAAGATATTCGTGCTTCAATTCGGAAATTAATTGATCGAATGCGTGTTTTTATTAACAACATTAATTCTACACGTGCTGTTACCGATTATGTACAACAGCGAGAAAAAATCCATGATCCACCAATTACAGCTGCACTTATAACAGATATCGAAATTCGTTGGAATACAACCTTCATCATGGTGAATCGGTTTATCACACATCAAGCAATTATAAACGACATCAACAGCAGATCGTTCAAGGTACCAAACATTAGTTCCGTTCAACAGCTAAAACTTGGCAACAAGAAATTTGAATTTACTAATGATGACTGGTGTACAATAAAAGACCTCTAAACTGTACTTAAACCATTTTTTGGTGCGACGACTGTTGTCGCAGCAAAAAATTATCCAACATTAGCATTAGCTTGCTCAAGTAAGTAACAAGCTTGAATATCAATGAGAAAGCACAGGATAAACTGAAAGTGATTTTACCGAAAAAATTAAATATCTAAGTTACATAACGACTAGATCAAAGAAGCTGATTTTTTACCAATTATAGAAACGTGAGCGAAACGTATATCTGTACAAAAACCCCTAAGAAACACTTTTCTCAGTACAACTATAGATCACAACATAGAAATTCTACCATTTCACAAAGAGGAAAGATGTAGTCTAGAGAGTGAGAAACATATTAGTTCAACGAAAAAAATTGAATATGTTCTTTATAACTCGAGCAAATGAGTTGACTCTTACATTAATGCTAGAGAAGCATTCGAGGTTTAAATCCACGAAAGAATATCGAGAGATATCACCTATAAAGCATATTGTATTTTTCCTATCTGTGCTATAGTGATATTTCGTTGTTGTGATTTATAGTCATAATACAAAAAAAGATTTTTCTAGGCATATGTTTATGAATATAATCTTTGAACATATCTGTATCGCTAATAAAATATTCAGCTCATTCGTCTCGGTCGTCAAGATGATATTTGAATTTTTCGGTGAGCTTCCTTTTGATGCACTGTGTACTTCATCGAAGAAAATCAACTACCGAAGTTTATAAAATGTTTCTAACGACTTCTTTCGTATTTTAGTACCATACGCTTTACGTTTCTTTCTGACAAAACCAGAAAAAAACGAATCGACCGTATTCAAGTTCATCAAAAGATGTCTATTGGAAAAATTGGATCTATATTTCGAAGAAAAAATGGAACCACATCAAAAAAATCTCATGCTTGTAAGTTAGAATAAAGCTATTTTTTTATCTATATCCATACTGAGAACCACACACTATTGAGTCATGAAAATTGAAACCTGTAGCCGCTACCGTTACGTTTAGAAACGCTTTTCATCTTCAATATCTTCCACAAATTAAGTCTGACTAATACAACAAATTGATTAATATTTCATAGAGAGGATCAGCGTAGAATCGATTTTCATATAAAATAATTGAGATTTGTTAAATTACTTTTGCCACTTTAACAGAATTTAATTTCTCAAAAACGGCAATATTGAATTATTCAATAAAACTTGCTGATTAAATAGAGAAACATAATGTGTTTTCATCAGATTTATAAACTTTCTGTAGAATTTTTTTAAAATAAAATTGAGGTGAGAATAGCATATTTCACAATTTCTGCAAATACTTGAAACCCGAGAATATTATTCGATATAGACTAGTATGTTTCTTTTCAATGTTTCATGAACGTTTTCTATTTAAATGTATATGTCTTGGTAAATATCCATGTGTTCATATTCTGAAACGGATGTATTCTTGAAAATCAATCAAAACAGTTGTCTAAGCTTTACAAAAGCTATTATAATTTCTTTTCAAAAATGTTCTGATTTTCATAGACAGTTGCTTTCGTTTTTCTTATTCAATCAAGAAAAACTAGGTGAAATATTTCTAATATAATAGTATAAAAAAACATTATTTTATTAAACTTAACAGGTTCGGCCATAATATGCACTACTACCTCATTTTTCTCGCGTGTATAGAGAAAAACTTCCCTTACAGGATTAAAATTATGATCGAAATCATCAAGACGACATAATTATTGACTAAGATTAGAACTGTGTCGTAAGCTGATAGCAAAACCATTTATTATTTCTAGTTTGAATATTAAAAAGCTTTTTTAGAATGTTATCGATACTATAGATAAATTGTATCGAACTGATTGATAAGTTAGAATTTACTGTGAAAGTATGGTGTATATGTCTCTCGGCAAATATTTTTACTGTTATATTTTTTATCGAAATATCTATAACACACTTAATTCTTTTTCAAGGCAAATGCTTTATGCATAAACGTGACAAAACTAAAAATTTAGTTTGATCACATCAACGTCTAAAACTGATGAATATAAATATACAGTGAATCAAATAACACCATTTTGTTCAATCACATATAATTGTTTTAAATCATTTGTTCAAACTCAAGAAAACTGACAATATCTAGGCGATTTTTCTATATAAAAGTCCTTCTTGAAGCTATTAACTAACAAATTTCTTGATTAAAGATTCAAGAAACACTCAGTCAACATTCCAGTTAATTTTTATTAAAGTTCAAATAATATGTATATTCAAATGAAACATAAGCGATCATTTCGATGACTTGCGAACTGAAATAATCACTCTTCTATTACCTGTAAATAATATTTGGTAGATTTTGATGTCATTTTTAATGTTTTAAATTTCTTTCCAGTTTTTAGTAAAGTATATTTGCGAGTTGCAAATTGTGACTATCTTATGTATCAAGTCGTGTGAAATGCATAAGGATAAACATATTTCCATTCAATAGCTACACAAGAAAACAACGTATGTATCTTTGACAGCATAGCGATTCCATTTTATTATTTCATTTTGTGAATTTTCGAAGTCTATTTAATATAATACCAATCAATTTTTAATTATCAGAATTAGTTACTCTTTCAAAAATTAAAAAACGTGCTTAAAATTTGTTTTTACGATTTTCACTCTTATATTTATAATTATCAATGTGATTATGTGACGTACTCTTATATATTCTCATAAACCAAAGGCAAAAGTGTTGAAAAACTTCCAAACTAAGTCTATTTAAGCCTCGACAACTAATAATATTGTTAAATATCATAGTTAATCGTCGAAGAATTATGCTTATTGATAATTTTTGGCAGGTTAGACGAAATGCGCTCAGATAATCTACTTTTGTTATCTGGATTATTGTCGAAAAAATGTACCAATTACGTTTACCAATTAATTTTGAATGAACGAGCTATTCACTAAACATTATGTAACATCAATCGCAATGATTAACAAAAGTTAACCTTCGATTTCAAACTAACTCAAAATGTCCCATTTTATGACTTTCGTATTCTACTACAATGTTCATACGAGAATTTAACAATATCTTGTAAGATGATATTGGATCAGTATGGATATAATTTCAATTCATAATACATGCTGACATCCTCATTGATAGCATGAAAATAGTTATTGTGTAAATATTGATTTTTTCATGAAAAAATTCGAAATTAAACGATATATGATTGTTATTTATACGTTAATGAGTTAATTTACAATAAATTAACGGTTAACTAAAAACCGTTAACGTATTAGTTAACCGTTAATATTAACGGTTAACGGTTTTCCTAAAAACGTTAATTCGTTAATTTTAACGGTTAACGATTTTAGTTAATTAACGCCGTTAATTAACTCGCGTTAAATTAAATGGTCCACTCCTAGTGCTAAGTCACATGACAAATATCAAGTGGATTTTTATTTTTCAGAAAATGTGGACATAGTCAAGATAATTTTCTATTGTGTAGATGTCGATGACGACGTTAAGAACCCGCTAAGAGTCGCTTGCGCATTCGTTGTGATTAGGAACAAAAACTCATTGAAAAATCATAATTAGAGATAAAACGACTTATCCTCACAATTAGGGACAAAAATTGGTTGAAACGTCAGAATTATGGTTAAAAAATAGCTACCATCAGAATTAGAGATAAAAACATTGACCGTCAGAGTTAGGGACATCCTTTTTTCTATGAGTGCTGGGTATCTTCATTTCAAGATCTGTATCTTAATAAATAAAAATGCAATCGTCTTGAGCCTTTAGATAATGATAGAGCTTGATTCACTCTACAAAAATGTCTCAGAGACCTTCCCTCTATTTCTTATGAAAAACAGGGTAAAAACACTTTTTTCTGTAAAGTAGAATTTTCCTATGTAATTTGTTAGAAGCGTCAGAATTAGGGAAATTTTTTTGCTGGTCAACAGGATTAGGGAACTACCACTTAATTCTGTCGGGTGCAACTACTTTTCGTAGATCGGTAATTTCTCCACGAAAAGGTGTGAAATAAAAGGCGAATAGTATATCATTGGAAACAGGAGAATTTAGAGATTACGTATATGTAAAAATATTTTTGATCTGATGTAAAATAGTTGAATGGTAACTGAAACAAAAAGTGGTAAAATTTTTCCGACAGAATTAGAGAAATTGACTGTATCTTATTTCTTTTTTACTTCACTACTCTTTTTTTATTGTGTAGCTTCTGAAAATATATCGATAAATGGTAGAACATTTGTTTGATGAAGATTAACAGAGTATTATATTTTCAATGTTTAGACATGTGGTTTTAGTCAACCTAACTGATAAGTGAAGAGTTATAGAGTTTTTTATAATAATCATGATGAATATTTATATCTGTGATAATATTTATTATCATCATGTTACAATTGCTGATTTTTATTAATTTGTTTTAGATTTGTTGATATTGAATTGATTGATTGAAAATTGAGTAATTAAATAATATATTCAAGAAAATATTTTCGAATATTAATTGCTCTGCTTTTGACTTTTATTATTAAACAATCAAAAAATACTAATAGAACAAAGATACATCAGTATTTGCTAAACGATTACAAAAAATAAACAAATAATTTTCTATATTAAATATTTTAACATGCTGAACATTAGACATAGACAAAAATCACGATGGGAATAGAAATTGTAATCAGAATAGGAATATAAATGGCGATGGGGACGAGAACGTGAACGAGGATGATGGTCGAGATAGATTTTGAAACTGAGATCTAGGTCAATGCTGAGACCAGGAGCGTTTCTAAACGAGAACTAATATTGGTACTGAGGTCGGGACGATATCCGGATCTCAATCTATGGCGAAGAACATGACCATGGGCACGAAACAGTTTCAGAACTAATATCTAAAATCAATATCTTCTCTCATATGTAGAAGGAACGTTTAAAGCTTGGTTCTATCAGAATCAACTGTATTGAGCCGCATACTATCGCTTCTGAAACCTTAATATTTTGTCTATGCTGTACAACGATGAGAAAAAAACAAATTAAGCCATGTTTAAGTGTGTATTTTTACCAACATTTAATTCACTCTCTCTCCGTCGATTAAGCTATTCGAAGGGTGAATGAGAGAACAAGCAAAACAATGATAATATAGGTATAAAAAAACAAGATATCTCAATAATATATAACCATGTGCTATTTTACATATATGGATGAATGCACAAATACAGATTTATTTTGCGCTGCATACATAGGCAACATAATGCTTTTATTTGTTTTTTTTGCATAGAATAACTTCGATTCAGTACACCATTATTCTGTTCGTCAGCATAGAACATTTCGCACGAATACAGTAAGCAAACATAAATCTTTTGAAATTGTATTCTCTTCAGAAAGTCATTTCCATCGTCAGTATCCAGTGGATTTTTCTATCCTTAAGTAGTACTACTAAGTTTGTATAGTGTTTTTTTTGCATCATAATAATTATTTTCCTGCTGACAAAAATGTTTCGAAGTTCTGTATGAAATGAATAGGAGGTATTCATTACTGTAAAGCCACTTTTCTCACGAAGCGTTTGTGTAGTAAGAATTGTCAATCCATTTTGCAAGTTCCAATGTAGTAAAAA